CAAAGTGAGATGTTACTGCAGTAACTGGCCACGGTGCTTTGCAACTGTTGAACTGAATTAGCAAAATGGAGTGTTACTGCAGTAACTGGCCACGTCAGTGAATCGAGGAAACGTCTGCAGTAACCGGGTGAAGGTGGCAAAGTGGGATGAGTGCACTATCTCCGAGAATTGTGAAAAGTGGCCAGGTTGTTGTTGCAGTGACTGTCTCCTAGTGTGAGTACCCTTTGAGCCCTGCAACCCAAGAAACTGTCGCACACAAACTTTGTATGCAAGAGCGACTGAATGGAATGAAGCTATGAAACACAGACCTGAAGAAATTTACACACACACACAAAAAAAGAAAAAAGAAAAAAAAGAAAAAAAGAAAAAGAAGAAGAAGAAACACAAGTGGTTGTTACGAAGGCAGCCCCGGGCCTTGTGAACAAAGAAAGAGACCAAACACGCCTGCTACTAAACATTTTTTTTTTCTTTTTTCAAGGATTTCCAGCAGCAATGGAAGAGTGGAGTACCTGTGGCTGTGGCCATCACCTAGTTGAGGGGAACAGTGGGGGAACACCTACCGTCTTCGAGTTCACCCGAATAGAACGCCCGGCCGCGGTGCTGCTCCCCGGCGCATAGAGTAGGGACCAGAATGTAGCCCATAACCCTTAAACGCTCCATTCTTAGAGAACCACTTATAGGTAGGCAGGTAGTGGGAGGTATATTGAGAGAAGAAAATAGATTAGTTATAAAAAAAAAAAAAAAAAAAAAAAAGAGCGCCCGGTCATTATAGCTGGATCTGGACTGAAAATTGCACCAAATACGGCTATATTGACCTCCGTCGGGTGTTCTATTCGGGTGAAGATGGTTGTGGGGAACACCTGGGTGCACACCTGAGGTGACCTGAATAGAACACAAGTAGAACGAAGACACCCGAATACAACACCTGTGTTCTATTTGTGTGGACCACCTAGACTATAATGGTCTTCATCCAAACAGAACGCATGCACCTGGACAGAACACACAGTCATCATCACCGTATCTAGACTGAACGTTGCACCAGATCAGGCTGGCCGTAGTTCTGATACGGGATGCTGCATTGCATGGCATGACAGCTCTGACACAATTTATTATTAATCAGGAGAACTACTGCGGCATCCAGGGTTGCCACAACTTGCCAGGTTTCGGGTTCAGCAGAACAGTTTGGCCAGAACTCGCTGAAGGTTCAGCCCTCCCTAGGCTGGCATCAGGCTGGACGCAAAGGTTTGGCTATCTTTTTTTCCCCTTCCGCTTTTTTAGGATGTTCTCTGTTTAGTCTTTTCCTGCATTGCGGGGGGTCAGTTCTCCCCTCACAGATTTTTACTTAGAATTAAAACAAAGAAGTTGAAGCAGGCAGGAGCATTTTGCCTGCCAAACATCAAACCCTCGCCCCGATGTCTGTATGTGTGTGTGTGTGTGTGTGTGTGTGTGTGTGTGTGTGTGTGTGTGTGTGTGTGAGAGAGAGAGAGAGAGAGAGAGAGAGAGAGAGAGAGAGAGAGAGAGAGAGAGAGA